AAGTAGCTTCTACCATTGGTTTCTAATAGGCGAGAAGTAGGGGACACTTTGGATATAAGCTACAACTCTTGTTTCATTCTTCAGTATTCTATATTCTTTCCCCCTGCTCCACCACTCTCCAAAAAAAAAAAACCATATTTAGTCCTCTCCACAGGGGAAATAATGCGAAAACTTGGTCATCTGTACAAACCTAGTCCTTTAGCAGACAAATGTCCCACTGAACCACCTTTAAAAGCAATAATTCAGCTCTGAGTCTTGATGCCTCTATTATCCCTATGTACATGCAAAGTAATAGTATTTTCCATGTGACAGTGTCTTTCATCCAAAGATCTCAAAGCTCTTTGTAAGAGTCATTAAATATTCTTTTCTCCAGATTATAGATGGGGAAACTTTGTCAATTATTTACTGTACACCAAAGAAAGTAAGTGTCAAATTTGGAAATAGAACACCACTCTCCTGATTACTAGTCACCCACTGTAGCCACCAGACCATTCTTCTGCTTTTGCACTAGAAGAATGAAAGATGTACGAACATAGGAAGGGAAAGATTTGAAAGGAACAGTTTTGTGTCTGGCTCATTAGCAACTACTCAAGTCTGTATCATTTGGAGCCCAGATTTGCTTCCAGTGAAATCAATGAAAGATCTAGAAGAAGCCTCAGTGGGAGCAGGAAGAGCTACCAGTCATGCCTAACAAATAACATAAGAGTTGAAATTCACCAGACACAACCACTTACTTAGAGGACTGGGGGCCCTGTCTTACACCATGGCCCAAGTTCTTCGTGGCCATGTTGGTGAAGCTACAGGTTTCAAGCAATTCTGTAGGTCACTGATACTTTATTTCTTAAGGTGCTTGCACCTCTGTGGTGTGACACTGAAGACTGGTCTACACTACAGACTTAGGTCAATACAGGGAAGCTTATGTCGACCTATCTTTGAAAGCATCTACACTATAATATTGCTCCCACCAATGTAAGAAGATAAGAATGGCCATACTTGGTCAGACCAAAGGTTCATGTAGCCCAATATCCTGTCTGCCAACAGTGGCCAATCCCAGATGCCCCAGAGGGAATGAACAGAACAGATCACATGATCCCTCTCCTGTCATCCATTTCCTGCCTCTGACAAACATAGGCTAGGGACACCATTCCTACCCATCCTGGCTACGTCTACACTGGCCCCTTTTCCGGAAGGGGCATGTAAATTTCACGAGTCGTCGTAGAGAAATCCGCGGGGGATTTAAATATCCCCCGCGGCATTTAAATAAAAATGTCCGCCGCTTTTTTCCGGCTATTAAAAAAGCCGGAAAAGAGCGTCTAGACTGGCCCCGATCCTCCGGAAAAGGGCATTCTTACTTTGAAGTAAGAATAAGAGCCTCCGGAAAAGGGCACTTTTTCCGGAGGATCGGGGCCAGTCTAGACGCTCTTTTCCGGCTTTTTTAAAAGCCGGAAAAAAGCGGCGGCCATGTTTATTTAAATGCCGCGGGGGATATTTAAATCCCCCGCGGATTTCCCTACGACAACTGCTGAAATTTACATGCCCCTTACGGAAGAGGGGCCAGTGTAGACGTAGCCCCTGGCTAATAGCTGTTGATGGACCTAACCTCCATGAATTTATCTGGTTCTTTTTTTAATCCTGTTTAAGTCCAGGTCTTCACAACCTCCTCTGGCAAGGAGTTCCACAGGCTTACTGTGCTCTGCATGAAGAAACACTTCCTTTTGTTTGTTTTAAACCTGCTGCTTATTAATTTCATTTGGTGACCCATAGTTCTTATATTATGGGAACAAGTAAATAATGTTTTCTTATTCACTTTTTCCACAACAACCATGATTTTATAGACCTCTATTATATCTCCTCCTTCCCCCTCCCCTCCCAGTCTCCTCTTTTCTAATTGGAAAAGTCACCGGTTTTTTAATCTCTCTTCATCCATTCCAAATCATTTTTGTTGCTCTTTTGTTGAACCTTTTCCAATGTCAAGGTATCTTTTTTGAGATGAGGCAACTACATCTGTACACAGTATTCAAAATATGGGAGTACCATGGGTTTATAGAGAGGCAATAAGATGTTCTCTGTCTTAGTCTTTATCCCTTTTAAAATAATTCCTAATGTTCTATTTGCTTTTTTAAGATGCCCACTATGCTGATCTAATAACTCTGCCTCCACAAGAGATGTAGTGCTTAGGTTAATGTAGTTAGGGTTAGGCAGTTCTATGTAGACATTGCATTGACATACATTGCCTGCTGGCTGACAGTCCCCAGCAGGGCTCGCAGCTGGAGCCCCACACCCACCCCATGCTGTCAGTCCCAGGGTGAGAAGGTTCCACTGGGAGCCCCACATACAGCTGACAACTTTGACAGTCAGCCTCCTACACTGTCTCCCTTAGGTTTCTGCTAGCGTTCCTAGTGAGGACATGCACCATCAGCAGAAGGAGGGTAGTGTGGACATGGAAGGCCAGTGTTATTACAGTATTAAAATTGACTATTTTGTAGTCAAGGCCTAAGAACAGAGGTTTGCCCTTTCCAGACCACAAATCTTTAGTCTAGATGGACTCTTGCCTGAAGAATTGCAGATTCTTTAAAGTGGGAAGGAACAGAGTGCCAGTGCTTTCATGCCCCTTCTCTCCTGCCTCCCCAGCAGGGGATTTGATGACCACCCAACAGCAACCTGTGGGGACTCAGTCAATGGAATTTTACACCATACTACTTGCTACACTCAGAGTTCCAGTTACAGTGGTGGGGCTCACTGCTCATGGTACCTTCCTACTTAGCTGCACTGTGTGATCAGCCTGTGCCAAGTCCTGGAGCTGCCTGTTCCCAACCCACCTCACAAACTGCACTAGCTGATTCATGCACCAGAAGGTGCCACTGGGGCTCTTAAAGGGGCTTGGCTTTTTCTGGGCTGTCATGCTCTGCAGGTGAACTCCTGGGTATGCTCACAGTGCAAAGACAGCTTTGCACTATAGCACAGGGTACTGGAACTGAGGCTCCTGCATGGAGGCCAAGACAGGCTCATTCCCTCATCCTGCCTGGCTCCAGCCCCAGAAGAAGTCAGGAGGTCCCTTCAACACCACAGGAAAGCGGTTCCAAGAGCCAAGTGGACTACAGAGGCAGCAGAACCAGGCTGCTAGCAACAGCATGGTCCAGTAACGAGGAAGCAGGGTCCAAGGTTCCTGTCTTCTGTTTCTGGCTGGGGTATGTCCTTGCACCTGTTGTCCCATCTATCCTGTGATGATGATAGTACCTTGTGAAGTTTTTCGAGATCTCCCCATGGAAGGGGCTAGACATTTTTTTATCTGTGTTTTACATTAAATCACGGATGAGGAAACTTTTGGTTCAGGGGCCACCAACACAGAAAAATCAGTCGCGGGCCACACACAAATGCAAAGGAAAGCCTTGGGCGGGGGGGGGCGGGGGGGCGAGCCAGGCTAAAAGAAATTCTGTGGTTCACATTGCCACTTTACTGTGCTGTGACCTTCAGACTCAGGACTGTGAAAAAACACAGAGAGATATACCCCAGCCCAGCAAGTTGTTGTTAAACATTTGTGTAAACCAGACTAGGGCACTCAAGCACACAAAGGGTAGGAAATGACAAAAATAGGGTTGCACTTCACTGGGCCCCTTGTGCTATACATCCTCTGCAAAAAAAATAATAAAATAAAAAATAAGTTGTCCTGCAGAACTTTAGCAAATAACAAAAAAAATAGATGGTATCATGCATTTTTGTGGGCACAACCCACTTTTTGTGATTAGAGGAGCAAAAGGCACAGAAACCCCAAAACATCTTCTGCACTGAATGAGGCAGGGGACACGTGTGGAAAAAATTGTGTCTGTCTGATTACAATCAGTCACCTCCCCTCTGTAACCACAGACATCACAGGCCACCCATTCAGCCAGCCATTCCAGGGACTTTCCCAACCAATTAGATAATTGCAAACCAGGCACAGAGACATAAGGGAGCCTGGGGCTCAGAGCTCAATCTCCGTGCATCTGGCAAAGAGAAAGCTAAGCCCATGGTGAACCCCAACCTAAAAAATGCTGCTGCTGCTCCCTTTAAATCCGGATTCGCCTCCATTGCATTTGTACTTGCACACACCCAATCATAGAACTGGAAGGGAGCTCCAGAGGTCATCAAGTCCAGACCCTCCCCTGCTCTCACGACAGAATCACGCCCCAGCGTTGAAGTCCAGACTTCCAATCCTGACTTTCCTGAGAGTTGAGGAGAATATTCCCTTTGTCCTCGATTGACTGACTCTCTCTCATAAGGCGTCTTGGGAACCAATCAGGGTCCCTGCTCCTGGCTGTCAAAGCGATGTCTGGTTATTTGTAGTTTGCATCGCATTAATAAAGCTGACTTATCAGAAATTACATTTCCAGCAAAATAGTTGTGTACAGGAGCTGCACTGCCGCAGGATAGGCATGCATGAAAGACACATACATTGACTTCAGTCCTTCTTCTCGCAGATATAACTGTCTGCGGAATCAGAGCAGAGGAAGCTACTGAGTCAGGCAGCGCACATATTATGCTGACGAGCCAAATGTACACAAATGAAATGTCTGTTAGAATCTTTCGCTCCTCCCACGGGCCGCCTTTGTCTGGGATCTCACCTTTTTCTCTGCAACCTGGTTATAAGGGGATCTCAGAAATGCCTGTGCCACACGCATTAACACTTGGAGGAACTGGCGTGGGTCGGTAGGGGAAGGCTAAAATAATCAGGTAACAGCTTTTCAAAATGAAGGGGACGAGAAAGTGTACACAGGGGAGACCAAATGAAACCAAGCATTCCGTCTGGTTTGCTTAACCCGTTTAAAACTCTTTCTGGAAAGACCTGTAAGCCGACCCGTTTTGTTTAACTAATGCTCGTCTTTTCTGCCCTTCTGCTCATTACAGACCAGTTAGAGACACTTCTGGCTTTGCTAGTATTGCAAATTCTGTCCTGAGAGTTAAAAAATATGTCGTAAGGTGATTTACTTTTTTGTTAAGATTTATTTAACTGGTATCCAAAGGTACATATTCCAACTAGAAACCTCCTTTATCAGATAATAACGCAATCCAGAAAGCATTGACAAATGCCATATGACATAAGGATCTAAGCACAAAAGTTATTCTATTTCACTCAGGTTTCCATCATCGGACTTAACTAATTTATGATTTCGGAAAAATAAAAATAATTGAAATATTGAAGATTTGATAACTGAGGGGTTCCGCTCCCCTTTAGTGGTTGGAGGAGTTGCCTTCGTAATTCAAAGATGACGCTGATTTAAAATCTATTAGTGTACAGATCCTTAGTCTATACTATAATGTTGACTCGCCTATTGAGATTTGAAGGAAATGTAATCAAAGCATTACAATTTGGCGTTTTGTTCAGTAGTTGGTTTGGTTGGTTGGTTGGTTTTTATGCGCAGACTTTACTGATATAATCGTGTTCAATATGACAAAGACCAGGGTTCCCGACTGCGCCCTTCACCATGCTAGAGCTCCTTGCGATGATGGCCAGTACCCACATACAAACAAGGCTGCTGGGAAATTTTAATAATTGTTCCTTTCAATACGTGCTAAGGGGAACCGGGCAGCATGATGTGCTTCCAAATGCCTCTGGGCAGCGTGAGTGCCTCGTACACAGCTGTTGGGATCATACCAGCTCTGCTGCAGGAGTTATGACCTCAGTGAAACGGCAGTAAGGAAGTTGCCACGATCCTATCGCTCGCCTGCAGGATCTCAGTGACAGATTTCGTTCTTTTGAAAAGGAATTAAAACGGGCACAAACACCAGCTGCAATAAGTACCCGTTTTAAATCCAGAGCCTGCTCCCACTGAAGTTCGTGGCAGAAGTCTCATCGGTTGAACTATCAGGGTCCTGATCCCCCTCGTTTCCATGGGACAGATTTTTTTTCCTTTATTGGGAGCAGGATCGAACTCAAAGCAAGTGATTGGTTAGCACACACTGTGCGAAACAGCCCGCGTTCTGCAGCATGCCCTAGCTCGTAATCGATCAATTATTTACCGGCAATTTTGAATGTAAATACAATCCTTTAAAGTCAGTTACGGATTTTATTTCTTTTTTCTTATCCCTGTCATAGTGGTTACACTTGTACTAAGTAAAAAAGAGGGTCAGCTTTGTACTAACGTATAAATATTGCATATACTGATTAATCAGTTATGTTGTTCGAGGCAGTGTTAAGTAAATGCTTTAGGCAATTACTTTGGAATCTTCCGTTATACTGGATTCCATTTGTACTGACATTGTGTTTGATCCTGCTCCCTGAGGAGTAATACTCACTTCTGCCTAACCAGATCGATAGGGCTATGCGAGGAACTAAAGCTTATTCATCTCTGTAAGGGTTGTAGGATCGGGCTCCAACTGGAGTCTAAAGCCCCTTCCTTCCTATGTAACTAGAAAACCATAATATTAAAATCGATGGAGAGTTTGAGATGCAAAAGGAATGCAGAACTGGATTCAATTTCTCCATTCTCCCAAGACTGGGGGGAGGGAAAAGTACAAGGAGGATAGAGTGGCATTGTGAGCTACATTGTTAACACCTTAAACGGAATGGGTGAGCAGTTGCTCAGCCAAGGTATGCTATTGGTTTCAGTAGAGCTGCTTGTTTGACTGACTTCGCACCAGTGGGAATAGAAAAGGAAAAATCTGACCGCAGGTAACTGTGTTTCTTGGAGTGGTAGGTATGTTCACCGTTGTTCTGCAGAGATTTTAATTTTGATGTATTTTATTTCTTGATGCAAAAGAATAGAAAAAGGTCATGTTCTATTATAGTCCATGTAAAACACATATCAGCAATGATTATAAATGTGAATGCTTGCAGATATAGGAAATTTTTATGGAACATCTGGACAACGTTATGTGTGTGTCTGCACTGGGCCTTGTTCAGAAAAGTGATTTACTGTAATGACAATCTTGACTATCTGGAATAACCAGTTGATTTTTGTTACAATGTAATCATTAAAATACATTCTTTAGAGTTGAAAAGACTCGCTAGTGGCAAAATATTCCGAGTCCAATTAGTTTAGGACTTAATCTAAAGTCCTTTTGAAGATAATTGACAGGTTCCTTCTGACTTCAATGAACTTTGCATCAGCCCTTTGATTACTGTTAGATAGTTAAAAGTGGTATTTTCGAGAACCCAAAACTTATCGAAGTCATCTAAGTGAACAACTAGACAAACAGTAGTTTGTCAGCAACTTTATTTTTTTTAAATCGCATGACAAACTGGAACCAATACCAAAATACTGTGTCCACTGTACATCATTCATTATAAAACAAACATACACCACATTTGTAGTCTACCAAACAGTGTATTTTCTTTAAAATTATATAGTGCGTGCTTTTAGATTCATGCTTTCAATATTTATTTTACATTTGCTATTCAAATATTTTTCTGTTATAAATAATTGCAACTTGATCAAATTGTATACCTGTTATCATCCTATAGGATCCTATTCAGTACTGCAGTGCGTTTTTGTTTGTTCTTTTTAGACACGAGTAAGCAAATCGGAAGTGGAAATAAAGTGTACAGAGGCCAGACTTGCCTGCAGAATTGTGACTACTGTCCATACCTAGAACCTGGAATGCTGGAACAAGTGGCAGGAAAATTACATAGAAAAGAATTGTTTCCAAAAGGCACAATTTCCTCGACACAAAGGAGCAATACAAAATAGATGGCGGCTAAAACACTGGCGCCTAAGAGAGCGGTGCTTGTTGCGTGTGAACTCGTGCTAACTAGTATGAACCCCCCTGCAGGCTGATGCTTTGGCAGTTCAGGAGTGCCTTACAAGAGGACTGAGCGGAGTGACAGTGCATGACTGAAAACAAGCACACAGCTCTTTCCCGGTCCGCGAGGGTTTGTTTCCCAGCCCCGGAAATACAGTACCCCTATGATTTCCCCCACAGGGCAAAACCCGCTGGCGTGTTTCGAAGCAGAAGCGGGTTTGCGCTGGGACAACCCGCACTGGCAGCCCGGGCGCCGGATTACTGATCATTGCTCCTGCCGCTGGTGTCCTGGTCGCTCGGGTCATCCGTGAAGCAAACGTCCACGTCGCTCTCGTTGTCAGTCTTTTGCTCCGGCTCCTGGAGCTGGTAGCCGGGCTCCCGTTTGTCCTCGGCCGCCTTGTGGAGGCTCTGCCCCGGGTGCCTGGACTTGACGTGGCGCTCCAGGTCCCGGCGCCGAACCAGCACCTTGCCGCAGAACTCGCAGCGGTAGGGGGTGTTGCCCTCGGCGTGCAGGCGGATGTGCTTGTTCAGGTTGCTGGGGTCGCCGAAGGGCCGCAGGCAGACCTTGCACTTGAGCGGCTTGTAGCCGGTGTGAGTCCGCATGTGGATCTTGAGGCCGTACTTGCGCGAGTAGAGCTTGCCGCAGTACAGGCAGAGGTGGCCGGTCTTGGGCTTGCCCCCGGGCTGGCCGGCGGCGGGCTGCAGGCTCTCCAGGCGGCCGCGGCTCTTCTCGGCCGCGATCTCGGAGAGCTGCTGCGTGTGCAGGGCCAGCTCGCGGTCTATGCTGGCCAGGGAGCCCAGCTCGGCCGGGTGCAGCCCCGCCGGCGGCCCGTTGAAGTAGGCCACGGAGTCGGGGTACTTGAGCAGGTTGCCGAAGTGCAGCTTGAGCGGGTAGTAGGGGGCGCTGTAGAGCAGCTCGCCGTTGTAGAGGGTGACGGGCACGAGCGGCAGGTTGCACTCCCCGGGGTAGGCCGCCTTCAGCCCCTCCAAGGGCGGCAGCGAGAAGCGCTCCAAGTGCAGGCCGGCGCCGGCGGGCAGCGGCGGGTAGCGGCTGGGCGGCAGCCCCCGCTCCACGTGCTTGAAAGCCGAGGTCTCCTCGAAGTGCGAGAGCAAGGGGAAGGCCCGCAGGCCGCCGGCGCAGGGCAGCGCGGGCGGGGGCCCCTCGCCACACTTGGGCTGGGGGCCGCCCGCCAGCGCCTCGGCGCGCCCGGCCTTGCTGCCCGCCAAGGCCTTGCTGAAGCCCAGCCCGCCGGCTTTGCCCTCCTCCGCGTGGGCCGCCTTGGCGAGGCCGGCCGGCCTGAAGGCCGATCTGCCCCCCGGGTAGAAGCTCAGCCCGTTGCTCCCCGCCGAGCTCCCCACCAGGCCGAGGAAGGGCCCGTGGCTGCGCCCCGAGCCCAGGCTCATGTCCAAGGCTCTCTCCTGCTCCTCCTTGCCCACCGGCCTGCGGGCCGGGCCCAGCTTGCCCAGGGGCGGGGAGGCGGCGGATTCCCGCTTGATGCCCTCCCGGGCCCCGCAGTGAGCCTGCTGCAGGCCGTGGGTCCTCAGCGGAGGCGCGCCCGGGAGCTCGCCCGCCGCCGCCGCCTTCGGGGACAGGTGGAAGAGGTCGGAGGAGCGGACATGGTCGTGGGGGGGCAGGAAGCCGCGGCCGCTGCTCAAGCCGCAGTGGAAGTGGACGTGGGCTTTGAGGCTGTTGGGGTATTTGAACGTCCTCCAGCAGTACCAGCAGATGTAGCGCTCCTCCCCTAGGAAGACAAGCGGATCCCGCCGTTAGACAGACAGTAGCGGCACACCCGGCTCGCGAGTCAGCTACAGACAGGCCCTCCTACCGCCGCAAAGTGGCCCTCGATGGACCCATGCGTTAGACAGGCCGTGGGCTGCCATTGGGGGACGGACAGGGGCAATGGGAAGTAACGCTGTCCCCTTTCATTCGTCACTACCTTTCCTTTCCCCCAAGTCGCACAGTAAAGGCCTGATCCATAACCCAGCGGGAGGCTTTCGGCTGACCGCAGTGGTTTGGATCCGGTCTTAGATCCACACGCCAGCGCCTGGAAGGACTGGAGTACCACAACTATCTGCTTTGTGTTTTCAGGCTGGGCCCAAATAAAGCCTCTTGGCTTAGGAGCGGAGCTGGCCTGGGCTGAGTAGAGCTGGCTGGGCGGTGGTAGACTGAACTGAGTCTGGACTGAGCTAAACTGGGCTTGGGGAAACGAGAGCAGCTGTTGCCTTAAATCGTCTGTCGCGGGGCCCATCTGTTGACGTTCTCAGAATAGGTAGCGTATGTCGAGGAGTGGACTAAACTGCACAAAGGCCAATCTAATGATCGTGAGCTCCTCGTTACCCGGCGAGACAATCTCGTATATGTATAGGGCCATATGTAATCATTCCTTTTCAGAGGACAATGCCCTTTGTGCCCCATCCCTAAACATTTAGGCTTCCCTGAAGCGGAACAAACCGAAATGGCCTTGTTTGTATTATGACTTCATGTTTCTTTAAATTTAGACTTTTCTTTCTCTTCTGCTTTTTAGGGACCTTCCAACTGAGGAGTAAAATAAAGCCTGGCCTGGTTTTTTTTCAACCCTGACATTTAAATATATTCTCTGCAGGAGGGTTTTTTTTAAATGTAGACTAGCCCCTCCTACTTATCAGCATTCAAAATATACACATTATAAATTTGAAACATTTAAAAATCATAATAGTAATGTACTTGCAGGCTGTACATTACTGGCCAGCCCTAACTTTATAGAGAATACACTAAGCAGGCAAAGTTGTGAAACTGAGAAAGTAAAATAGTACATATTTCCAAGATTAAAATATTGTTTACAAACATCAAGAGGTGCGAAATCCCACAACCTTAAAAGCAGAGTAAATAAATACCAGAGACTATAAATCTGGCCTTTTTAGAAATGTCACATAGTTCCAAAGTGTGTTAAAATGATACATTAACTTGCAGCCAAGCACAGAAGAGAGTGCAAAAGCAGCGCAGAATGGCTGGGTTGTTAATGAATAAGTTCACATGGAATTAGCACACTAAACAGCCTTTTAAAATGACTTTTAATTCAGGAATCAACCAGTGTCAGCTCATTCATTCAGTATCATTCAGGATAAAATAAAAGTCTTTCCACCCCAGCTCCCATTCCTTTTTGGAACACTTTCATGCACAGTGAATAATGAAAGCACAGAACAAAACATGGGTTGCGTATTTTCTCTTCTGTTAAGTATTATGTAGTTTCTGTCATGCATAGCTCTCACTAGTTTGCCTTGAAGTGAGTGGTCTTTATGAATCTATGCTGGAATCTTAAATCGGGCGTTGTGTGTTTTTTCGCACTGTTGGGCTGAGCTAGGGAGGAGGGGAAGAAGGAGGAGTGTGTCTGACTCTGCCGAGGCCTTAATTGCTCAATTGCAGTGTGTCTGAACCATTTCAATAATCCTATTACTGTGCATTGAGAGACAGGTAAACTAGTTTTTAAAACGGAACGGCTCGAAGTTTAGAAACCTCCACAGACCCTCCAAGCCTAATGCATTTGATTTAGAAACTTTTGCTTTTTGACTCATTTCAAAGAAGTGCGTAGGTTTTTATGTTCTTTACAAAGTATGTGCAATACCAACCAAGCTTTGTTCCAAATGCAAATGTATCCTGAATATAAACAGATTACTTCCCTCCTCCTCCCAGCTCTTCCCAAGCACTGATCTATTTAGAAAGATCCTTGTTTATAACGTTACATCAATCTACTTAAAATCTGTGAGCAGCAACATCTAGAGGTTTCTTCTTGCATTTTTCAAAATGCTATAAAAAAGTACGTAGGTTCTGGAAATCGGGGTGTGGGGTGTGCTGCAGCACCCCGTGGCTCTCCATTAGATGCAGGATTTACAGTTTGGTTCAGTTGCTCAACCTTACTATACAAATTGTTCCAGCACCCCTGCAAAAGTAATAATAATTACTCTTTCGCCTTGTACTATTTATTATGCCCTCAGACTGTAACGATTAGTTTCAGACTTCACGCTGGAAGTTGGGAAATGCTGATCTTCAGAATGTGTATGTTTCATATCTTCTATATTTACAGTGGATTAGAAAGGGCATATGAAGTTAGTGCTATTACAGTGCTAGTACAGTGGACCAAATTCTGTGGTCCTTTCTATGAAAGAACAGTGCTGTAGTACAGTACTCCCATTGAAATTAGTGGCTTACTTAAGTAAGGTAATATTCGCTGTGAGTATGGGCAGCAGAGTACTTAGTACAGAGTACTTAGCCTCATTTCACTTTCTATGCAGGTCTTCTCCCGCTCCTGGGTTTTGTTACAAAGGGCCAAATTCTGAAGGCCTTTCTCCTACCGATAGCTCTGTTGGCTTTAGTGGGAAATGATTTCACTCCCTATACAGTGACATAGACTAGCAATGTTAGGTGTTATTTTAATAGTAACTCTAAATGTATTAAATAATAGGCAAGCCCTGTTCTAAGTTCAGTCTTGAGTGCCGGGTCCTCCAAGTCATGAACATACTCTGGGGGGGATCAGCCTCCTGCAGGATCAAGCCTTTACTCATAAAATTAAAAGGCACTGAAGCAAGAAGTGTGTGGATAGTGTTGTATAGGGCTTCTGATCAGTAGGAATCGTATCATCCTGTGCGCTGCTCATTTTGTCTTTGAACAAGTCTATTCTATTATCAGGTTCTTCATTCAATCTAATCTATGCAGCAAAATTTCAGAGCAGCAATGACTATAGTTATGCTCTAAGCAGAGTGACTAAGTAGGCCATCACTAAAAGCAATTTTCAAAACGGGCTTCTGTCTGTTGCCTACGTTTTCACTGGTTTTGCAGAGATTTGTATGAAATACACAATGCAACTGCTGTTAGAATACAATTTCTTCATCTATTGAAACCCCATGTCTGCTGCAAAATGCCTGTGCATGGGAAACAGCACATGGAAATATGCTAGCTATCGAATTCACGGGAAACCATTTAGACACTGAAATATGTTTGCTGTGTCATATTTCGAAACATGCGTTTTCCCCCTTTCAGATACTACCGCGTTAATAATTTTAAAATATCGTTTATGTTTAAACTACAGCTCCACCTAACAGCAAATTGCAGATTAAAATAATTTGTCCAAGATTGATGCATGTGAGATGCTAATTTCCTAACGTACATAAATAAACTGAATGTAACTGTCACATAATTTTACTTAGTACTTCCTAATTTGCATAAACTGACCACGGACCCTTTTAAAATGACTAAATGAATCTGAGGAGTAGCTGGAAATTGTCCCATATTTTAACTTTAAAATGGAGTCTGATGCCGTGGCCAAAGGGAAAAGGTGAAAATAATGTTTGAAAACATAGTGAGGTAAATACTGTATTTTAAAAATAGAGATGTATTGTTTTATGTACACCCCATTTTTCCTAGAAAACTTATAAAATAGTGTCAATGTTGAAAATATAGTTAGCTGAATCCTGATGTATTGTCAATTTGCTGGTTCCACTTCTTTAAAAAAAACTTTACAAAATAAGCAGAAGGAACAGATGACTCGAAAATGGTGGCCGAGTAGCAATCTGGTATGGGTTTTTTTAAGGTTTTTCCTGCAAGCACAAATTGTATTTAGGTTTCCTAACTACAACTTTATATCACAACGTGGATGCTAATTATAATGTTGATCTGAAAACAATAACTTTGGCTATTGGGAAATCGTCGCGAAGCTCTTTTAGAAAGGGTACCTGGGAGTTGAATTAACTTCTACTCAGTAACTACTGAACAGAATAATGAAGTCCAAGTTGCTGTACCTTTCTCGTCGTGTGTCGGAGTAGCAGTGATTGGGATGTCAAACCATTGAGCCAAAGAGTTTGAATACCACACGGTCAGCTCCTCCCCTGGCTGGACCTCTCTAAGCGTTCTGTAGAAAATCTATTCGGAAGAGAGTAAAAACAAAAACAAAAAACAACCCATCAGTGCCCCCGTGACGCAGCCGATCACTGCTAGAGAACATTCAGCCAGAAAGTTGCGCGCAATCTAGAGAGAGAGAGATACCTGTCCTCCTGGTAGATCTGCAATAGCTTCCAGTGTCTGTTCTTGTGTGTTTCTGGCAGCCCGGATTAACCCTATCCACTCCAGAGCTGAGCCCCCGGCTTCATCCACTAATTCCCCTCTCACCATCCGTACCTAGAATACAGGCATCAGCCACTGTCATTTCCACTCATGATCCAAGCGAGACAAAACACAAACACAAACCCCTTATAAGTTAAGCCTAAACATTCTCCTCACTAGCAACCCTTGCCTCATCTTCCCATCCAGGGAATCGCTGGCTTATACAGTCAATAGATCAAGGCCGAACAAGTGTTTGGGAATAGCAGGAAATCATAGTAGCGAAAGGAGAAAGAAACACCTAGTTTGTAAGAGCTATATTTTGCCATCTTTACTCATGTTGAGAAGTGTGTTACTCTGCGACTACCCTGCATTGAAATAAATGAGACTGCCCCTGGAGTGAGTATATTCATTGGAAGGATAAAAGGTTCCTTCCATAGCCTCGCTCCGAAAGCTGTAACTCTGCCTTATTGTGAGAACAATTCCGCGTAAGAACTTCTCTCATTGGACATCCTTTACTAGAACGTATCTTGTTCAAAGGCTGCAGGTGTGGTTAGTTTAAAAGTTTAAGCTAAATTTAAAATGCGCCCGTGATATTTTACATTCCAGTTGGGAATGACTGTGGTTTCGTGCCTTAAGCCTGGAGTGGAGCAAGTGTAAAATATGCGACTTGTCAAAAGAAAGGGGAAGAGAAGAGAGAGAATTAAGCTGAGCTACAAAGTCTCTGTGGCCTCATACTTCATAAGCTGCTTGCCCATACAAAGAGAAAATGAAGTGCCAGCTCTCTGAATGACCATGTAATAAAAGTCACTCGAACAAAGCAGTCTAAAGAGAGAAACCAATGGAGCCAGATGAGAAATAAATTTGAATGGGCTGGCAGAGCGTTTAAAAACAATTAAAGGGCATTAAAAATCCGAGCGGAACTTATGACCAACCTGTGCACGGGAAGGGAGGGCGGGGGGTAGAGTGTTTGCCTTGTGGCTATCGCATCCATAGACCCATTTGCAATACCAGCAAGTTGAAAAGACTCTCTAGCAGAATTTGCTGGGGGTAACCAGTTCATCTCCATTAAACCCCTTTTGGTTATACGAGTTTTATATCATAAAACTTTGTAGGGTCTGATGCTGAAAGCCTGACATATTTTCCGCATGCCAGACGTAAGGGAGTTGTAGAGTCAGTCGGATCCATCAATTGCACTCGGCAGGGTTAGTTTCAATACATTTCTCAATTGTACAGGCATTTGAGGTCTAAGCCAAGGATTTGTTTTCAATAGCTGCAACATGGAAGACCTCCCTTAACTCTGCGCCTTGGCTTAGTCCAAGCAACCGGGGCTTAGACTGCACCTGAAAATGACTTAGCCACTGGAATGTTTATCAACCTGCCTCATTCTCCTATCAGCCTGCATTCAGCTCGAAAACGTGCAAATGGATACCGAAACTCAGATTTCGATCCCGCTCAAAGAGAAGACTATTTTTAAAAACCACAATAAAAAAAGCAATCGCTTTAGCCGACGTTGGATCTGTGAGCCCCTTGCATAAACACAAAATAGATAGATAGATAGATAGATAAATAGATTAGATAGATAGATAGATCTATCAGCGACATTGAGACAAATCCCGGGACGATTTCTCTTAAAAGATCGGTGAATGCGGTTCAGAAAGACCAAAGGTGAGAAAGGAGGGAACAAATCACCAACAAGTTATCAAAGCCTCAGAGCATCAGCATCTGAAAGCTAAGCCAGCGCCATGAACCTGAAAACTAGCGAAACGCCCTCGCACCTAAAACCAGGGGCACGCCACTCGTGTGCCCAGGAAACGTCAAAACAGGCTCTCTGCAGTCACACACTCTGAAAAGTGCCCCTCTACCATCCCTCTTCTCCTTGGCTTAATGAAGATCTCAAGGGCAGGGACATCTCCTCTTGTCTGAAAAAACCGTCACAGCCCTTTCACCTTCCTGTTAACAAGACCAGCCTGCTGTAACACTACCCAACCAGGCAAACGCTGGGCAGGAAGGCTGGATAGGTTTTCTATACACTCAATTTCCAAGCCGTAACAAAGAATCTTGGGTCACTCTTTATGAAACGCTTCTCTTTCTTTCCTGGTACTCTGGCTTGTGCTAAAACTAGGCAGGATCAACCGAGGAGAAGGCAGCCTCTTTCCTAAGTGCAGGTCCCCCTGAGTTAATTGTCAAACAAGGTCCAGCAGTGCAGGAGACACCAAAGGAAATACCTTTTTTCTAGGTCCTGGCTCCCTGCGGTCTGACAGGTACTTGCCCAATTTGAAGACACCCGGCACAGGACCCAGACGCAGTCCGGCTGGGATGCAACTTTCCGCATTCACGCTGATGGCCGGAGCCCTGCTTGTTTGCATCGCTGCCTCTGGGTATAAGCGATCAGGAACCCAAAGCACTTAACGGGGATGGAGTGACAGAGACAGCAAGCGAGCAGGATGAAGACAGGCTTATCTCCGCCTGCAGAGTGACGCGGCGGTGTGTGCACGCCGGCTTTTCAATTGGAACAGGAGGGGTACCCCTTGGCACGCTGGTGCTCTAGGGCGCAGAGTTTGGTGAGAGAGTTTAGCTCTTACAGCAGCTGCAGAGTTCCATCCAAGAGGGTCACGTGGAGCCTTTCCCTAACCCCCCTGCATAATCAAGGACTTTGAATGGCTAGCAAACAATGGTCCAGGCGACCTTCCCATTCCTAAAAATCCAATTTGTCAAGGGCAAAGAAAAGGCGCTGGTGAATCAAAGGTCTGGAGGGACCATTAATCCTCAGCATGGGGTATTGTCCCCTAGACAGTTACGATATTTTAAGTGACAAATCCACTGTATAATTTCTCCATAAATTTTACTTCCTTTTATTGTTCCTAGACAAACCAGTTTTGGAAAATAAGTGACTATTTTAAGTCTACTTGGCTGATTCTTTTGAGGTTTAATATACTTCAAAGATTTTTAATTCTCTTCCCTTGGCTTTATTGTAAAGGAGATTAAACAAAGAGATGGGGAATGTTTTGAGGACTTGTTAACTTCTATTGATTCCTGGCGTGTGCCATACAGAAATTGGGCAGGTACTTGATGGGAAAACACCAGAAAATACCTACACTTTAAAAAAAAACCGACCATATTACCATTTCAGTGGATTGGTTTCAGGCCAGTAACCTATTTATAACAGCTCTGCTCCTTAACTTTTACTTTCTTCTTAGATGAATGGCACAAAATATGAACCATTGTTTGCCCTTTTAAATCACAAATGTTTGCATTTGTGAACACTGTGGGAATTGTTTAATTCGTGTTATTAGAGAAACTCAAAAAGATGGATTCAAACACAGACACCGCAGAATTCTAGATAATATTGGACCCCTTCTAAATTCATACCTCTGACACAGACACCGCAGAATTCTAGATAATACATATATTGGACGCCTTCTAAATTCATACCTCTGCAGGTTATATTTTCATATACAAAATTGTCCGCACCGAAAATACTTTTAAAAAAATAAATGAATGTAATTTAAGCTAGAACAATATGCTTCATACACAAGCCATAATTCGAATTATCAGCGCTATTTTGGTAAAAGTGAGTTTATTTTTATTAGACAAATATGAAACACTGGTCTTTACAATTTAGTTGGTGCGTATAAACGCTCTTACAAGAGTTCGGTAGGGACTGAATAACACAATTTTGGAACGGGAATATCTCCTAATCTACTAATTGGACACACACAAAAGACCCAGATGTGCACAAAAGACTGTAAAGAACTGAAACGTCTATTCTGTATAGGAAATATGAAATATGGGAAATATGAAACTGGGTAAATGGTAGACAGGCAATTATCCAAGCATCATATCTTGTAGCAGGTATATCTCAATATTTAATTATATGGTTTTTAATCATACAGTTTATTTTTATTTACAGCAGCACTCGTCATTATAATAAATACCAGTGGTGAGATGACGCATCTTTCTCTGAAAGTATGACGTGAAATGGGATAAGCGAAAATGCTCTTTAGAAAACAAGGTGATTTTAAATGAGCTTCATAATTGTTAAATCATAATGATATGGGTTAATCCAGCCTAAGTATATGTGAAGACACACTTCAATACAAGGATCCTATGGTACCAATTACCCTGTCTTCCGACTTAACGCAAATTTTAGCATAGCAGTTGATTATGCAGATAATTAATTTCATCAAGCCCATTTCTGTTCACTGCAACATCCAGTTGATGTTTAATTTAATGTTAGGAAGCTATCACATGTAAGGCATTTAAATGTATTTGTATATTCGCTTAAATTCATAAACTTTAAACATTCCCTCAGTTTAAACATCGTAGTGGGTCAGTGGCTGCGGTCTAGCATCAGGGTTAGGACGTGGAGTTAAATCCTTTCTTGCCTGCTTTATTTTTGGGAAATGGCTCTGTCACAGAGACACAAGCACGGGTTAGCGTGTGGCAGCAGTGTACTTTTGTGGCTGATTTGAATGTGATCAGGATCTTCCCCTATTTAAATAACTCTTGAAGAACCTCGGCCTAAATTAAAGCCCCCAAAAATAGCTGTGGCAAAATGCCTTCTCTACTCCCAAATTGTTCCCCTGCACTAAATCAATGTAGGTCATGGATACATTTTCAATAATGATACATTTGCGCGTGCACTAGGCAAGCAGAAACAAATGTAAACTACGTCTCTTGCAACATTAATGATTATCGATCATTCTTCTCCATGGTGTAATTGTAGGGAACATTCTGAGAATAGGATTTGGTTTGGACTGCAGCAGGGGTGGAAAAAACTGAGATGACCCCTTTGATCAGCAGCATGAATGGGGGGGGAAGGATAAACAAGAAGTTGAGGGCAATAAATTTAAGCCATGAACATGTCCCTATAACCTCTGGCCTGGCGACTTTAGGATGACACCCAGTTTAAATTGCAAGAGCTGCAGAGATAGAGAGCGAGCTTTTAAGGAAGCCAAGGTACCCTACCGCTCCATTTCGGGAGCTGCTCCATCCCCTCCTTAATGAGTCACAAAGCGTGAACGACACGCGAACAATTTTATCAATAGGACCATGTAAAGGCCGACTGTGAGGAAAGTTATTTATTAATATAGCCAATTGTGACTGGTTCCCATCCACTCAGAAAAGAAAAGCCCTGCTCTGGAAGCATTCACACCAGTTCTCCAATTTTTATTCTGTCCTGTGGCTCAAAGTTGAAGTTCCCCAAGTGAAATAAATTGTCCACAAAAGAGGAAAGGAACCACATTTTCTTTTATTTTTCCTTCCCTAAAAAGGAAGGGTGAAACCGATCTAATGTGCCCACTGGAGCAAGATGCAGCATGAAAGGCCGGGTGCTAAAAGTAAAAGCAGCCTTTGGAGCAAATGGGATGGAAAATTAAATGAAATTAAATAGCTTGAACGACCGTATTGTCCCTTATTAAAAAGACACATTAATTACATGGTTTCAGCTTTATTCAAAGACAATGTTTAGACTCAATCAAAACGTTCCACTCTCGTTTTTTATATACTTAAGCCGGGCTGCTCGAAACACCATTAAAGGGAAATAACTTTTGCCCAGAGATTTCATGAAAGATATTTTAGTAGGCAGCCCTTATTTATGCCCACCGCTGAACTGCCAGTGCCCCGGCGGAACCCTTTGGCACAGTGTTCTTTTTGATTTAACAGGTTGCCCCATAATGAAGCATGAATGTTAAGGAACAACAGTCATCCAAAGAGGCACAGTTGCAGAGAGCAATGTCCCACCAGGGAGCTCCATTCAAATCATCAAACTGCTCCGGCACAGAGAAGGTTCAACATTACATTCAAGCCAGCATGAATGCCTGTATACAGGGCCAGCTTCA